GCTACTGGTGAGTAGATGCTGGGAGGAATAGATCAGCTACTGGTGAGTAGATACTGGGAGGAATAGATCAGCTACTGGTGGGTAGATACTGGGAGGAATAGATCAGCTACTGGTGAGTAGATGCTGGGAGGAATAGATCAGCTACTGGTGAGTAGATACTGGGAGGAATAGATCAGCTTCTGGTGGGTAGATACTGGGAGGAATAGATCAGCTACTGGTGAGTAGATGCTGGGAGGAATAGATCAGCTACTGGTGAGTAGATACTGGGAGGAATAGATCAGCTTCTGGTGGGTAGATACTGGGAGGAATAGATCAGCTACTGGTGAGTACTGGGCGCTGTAGAGCTGAACAGAGCCTTAAGTTTAGACAAGCTGCTTGTTTGAGATGGGATGTAAACTGAAAACCCAGGATCAGATCCAGGTGTCACCATGGCCATGCAGTACAGCTGACCACTTTGTCAAAGTACCACTCTTCTGAGTGACAGTTAAAAAAAATCAATTACAGACTGTAAGTCATAACAGCAGCATCCATAATTAATGCATTTAATTCAGTCACAGAAATTACATATTGCAATTTTTAAGTCAGTATTATATATTGCTGGAGGTCTAGGAAATCCAATAAGAATGTAAATCCATAATTCCCTAATTATTATTTAATATGAGCCTTTAGTGAAGAAAACACAAAATAATATTGGCTAGCACCACCATAAATATTAAAATTTGTTATAAATGAGTGCCTCATTTAATTTTTTCATGAAGTGTTGTTTTTTGCCAGCCTGTATTTAAAAAATCCTGCCATCCATCTTCCACCCGCTTACGCGGTTCGGGGTCATGGAGGGGCCTTGGAGCCGGTCCCAGGCAGTGCAGGGCATTTGGCGGGGGACGCCCTGGGAGGACTGCCAGTCCAGGGCAGGGCAGGGCAGGGCAGGGCATGAGCATCACAGTTTGTGTTGCCTTTCGCTTCCTCCATGCGGCAGCACTTTCCCTCCAAACTAGACAAGGTTTAACATCAGATACAAGAACACATCATATAAATACAGGGGAAAAGCTTTATACAGTAGATAGAGAGTCTATAGATCATACAAATGAAAGGAGTGACCCTTAAAAGTGAGAAAAGCCTGCATCAGATGCACATTATTATAGAATTTGATTTAAACTATTGGATATTAAAGATAACAAAACATAAAATTGTGATTAAAGGGAATTGTTTCCACACCACTTTTGGTCAGCATTCTTAATTATAGTGCCAAAAATATTTTACCTGCATTGGCATTTTAATGCATTATCAATCTTAATTACATTATGCGTGTCCCTGTCAAATATATCTGCATCCAATACTTCCTCTTATGCAAATTACAGCTGCTGTTGCAATAAAGGTTAATGTCTGGCAGCAGGGGGAAGTTAAATATTTTACCCCTGCTGTGCAAATTTACCTTGCTAATATAAAGATGCCCTCCAGTATATGGTGCATTCAAAACTGCCCTTGAAGTCTGTGTCTGTAACGGGATATTAATACAGACATCTTGCCTAACCCCCAATAAATCAACCAACAAACAAATAAGATGAGACTGGTTAGGGTTGCACTGTGGCTTAGTGGCTGTTTGGGGCATTTTGGGATAAATTGATTTTCTCCCACAGTTCAAAATATGTGGATCAGGTGAATCGGTGTCTCTACATTGCCAGTAGTGTGTATGACCTTGTGCCCTGTGGTTCCGGGCACAGGCGGCAGACGCACCATGCATGGGGTAGGCGGAACACAGGTGAGTGAAGGTGACTGCCGCATGGATGCCGTTTCAACAGAGTAATTAACCTTAAAACTAAATATAAGTGAAATAAGTTTCTCACCATTATGAGAAACATACATTTTTTATGATAAAAAAGTATTTTCAGAAACAATGCATTGGTGGGGGAAAAATAAAGAAACAATGTGTCTTGGACAAGACAAATTACTCCGGAAAAACAGAACTCATCATCTGCAGAGTCTGGGTTTTGATTTTCCTATTAGTAGCTGTTTAATGTGCAGTGGATGTTGAGCTCCCCCTGGGTCAGAATGCACTTTTGCACTAAATGAAATTTGGCTGTGTGGGTATTTATGGGCTCTACCTGACAAGTGGTGCATTTTATTAGGCCTCTATGGGAACAAGAGAATAAAAACTTCATTAATTTCTTTTGAAAGGGAGAAGAAAAGTATACATTTTCTAAACCGTCTTCTCGGTTGATCTAATATCATCTAATATATCATTGTCATTCAGTTAGCAAGCCAAAGTATTATGAGAAACATGTATATATAACAAAATATCATCATCCATCAATCCATCCATCCATCTATCCATCCATCTATACTATCCTTGCTATCATCATCAACATCACTATCATCATCATCATAATTATTATTATTTTTATTATTATTATTATTATTATTTCTTCATTTCTGGCTCTTCATTCTGGACAGGATCATAGTGTACTGTTGTTATTAGTGGTGGGATTCTGTGTGATTGCCTGTCCCCACTATTCTAGAACGACATGTTATGAAAGTCTGGAATCTTCTGGGTGCTTCCCTAAGAGACACGCCTTTAACGAATTATTTAGCAAGCGCCGGCTGTGCTGCGTCAAATCTATCAGTATGGTTTCACACTTTAAAATGTTTTGAAACCTTTCACGTTATCGCTCATGAAAGAAATCAAATATACAACAAAGGCTAAGATTTAGCACCGGGTGCCATTGATGTGGATCCAGGGGTGCCCTACAGGCTGAGAATACTGCATTGTTCAGTATCAGTGGTGCACCTGGACAGCAGACATAACCTCTGCTCTCTCTCCTGTATGTTGCATTTCTGTTTTCATTGTTATTGGCTCCCTAATATAATAACAATACATGTAATAGTTACAATCTTATGTTACATGTTAAGTTACTTTTGGGGGAAATGGCTTGAATCAAAGTTCAAACCAAATTATATGAAAATGTTTTTGGTGTATTCATGTCATAATTGGTGGAACTGTTGACGTGTCAAATGTTTATCAATGACTATGTTTGAATAATAATGAATATGTTTACATATACTGTGTATTATGTCAAGTACTTTTTTTTCATCATTTTGAACTTTTAACTGCCCCAAAAACTGCTTTAACTGCTTTTTATCTGTGATACTTTGTCCCTCAGGCTGTGGAGAGTGAACATTTATTACAACTATCCACTATTCTTTCAAAATATTATGAATCATTCACATTAATTAAGGAACCAGATACACACAACTGAAGCGTTTCTGTTTTGTGCACTCTGGTTTTGCCCTTGATTATACTTTCGTTATAATTAAATTTAATTACACTCTTAAATTAATTATTATGTTACGTGACTAGAATTGGAGTGCTTACTGCATTGGCTTGAAGTTTTGAAACGTAGCCAGTTTTGTAGTGCTTCAATTTACTATTTTTTGTTAATATTTTGAAGAAAAACATCAAACTTTTCTCTCCATATAAGCTGCATGAGTTTTACATGGAATTAAGGATGAAACATAATTATTGCTTACATGATCTACATATCATGTAGTCAATGCAGATCACATAATTATTGACTAGAACGGGAAGGATTTCCCAAAAGTAGGCTACGTAAATCCTGACTGAGCGTGAGTACGTCAGCCCGCTTTCGTTCTATTATTTCGTTTTGTTGATTGCAATATAACTGGAATCAGTGATATACAGTAGACTGTAAACTGTAACTGTCTGGACCAGGGTTTGGGGTGACCTCTCAATCAGCTGATAATAAAGCAGTGGTTCTCAATGGGGCGTGGTGGGGTGGGTCTCTCCCGGTCTGCGCCTGGGGGGGGGTTCCCTGCTGCCGGGCTGCCTGTGGCGCCCCTGAACACCCCAGTTGGCCGCCCCTGCTGGCTGTGCGGGGTCGAGGATGGGGACTAATCGGGGCCAGTCGGGGATCTGGCCCCGGTGCCGGGGGGGGGCCCACTCCTGGCACGCCCTTATTGCTCCCCTGGGCCCAACACCACATTTCACACAACACTAGGGCCTTGAGGGGCGGTGGGGAGGTGCGCCGAGACACTGCCCCGCAATCTTTACTAGCTTATTAGACACCACATGACACGAGGGCTGAGGAGGGGGGTTGAGGCAGGTGGGGCTCTGCCGTCTGCCAGCGGGGGGGGGAGGGGGTGGCCATGCCTCAACTGCTCGCCCACTTTTTGCACCTTAGTCATATACACAGTCCATATTACATTAGGGCTTTGGGGGTGCGGGGAGGGGGATGGGGGACTCTGCCATCTGCCAGTGGTGGGGCCCTCATACCCAAACTGCACCCACTAATTTTAATACATTGTAGACATAAACACACAACTCTCTCACACATGTACATGCACACTTCACACCAACATGGGTCAGGGAGGGGATGGGGGCCGAGGGGCCCCCCCTAACTCTCTGTCTCTGGCCCTGCGCGGGTGGGGTGACCCGCCGGGTGGAAGATCCATCATGGGGGGGTTCGGGCGGCCGTGGCCGGTGTGGGCGGCCTCCTCTCTTGGGCCGCGGGCCGGGGGGGCCTTGGCTCTGCTGCGCCGTGGTGGGGCCCTGGCGGGCAGTCCCTCTGGGCCCTGCTAGGCGGATTCGGGGGTTTGGTTTGGGCTGGGCGGGGAGGTCTGCCGCTCCCCGGTTGCCGCGGGTCTGCCGCGGGTCTGCCG